TTTTCACATTTTGTCAAACGAAGCACAAGATAAAAGCATATCAATAGTTGTCATGAAAAATAAGATTATACTCGTACTTTACAATATTATGAACAAACTCTTAAAATTTGAATGACCTTAATTGTGCGGTTGATTACTATGAATTGGCAGTGAAGATATTTAAAAAACTGCTTCCATCTGAACATAATGCGATAGTTTGTTGTTGTAATAAAACTGCTATCATTTATAAGAATCAATGAAAGAATGACAGTGCATTAGAATATTATTTCGAAATATGAGATGTATTGGAAAAAATCTTTGGCTCTTAATGGACATCTTCGTATTGCTTTAACTCTGCGAAAGATTGATGATTCTTATGAAATTTTTTTCAAACTATTGGCGCGTACTCTGGAATATGATGAAAAAGTACTAAATATGAACAAAAGATTTTTATCAGCTAATCATCCTGAAATATTGAAACTAAATTGCTGCATCGCGGACATTAAGAGACAATACTAAATTGATTTCATTGTTTTCTCAATAACTTATTTTTATAAATTTATTATTAACTTCAAAAATATCAGATTTTAAACACTACCATTTTTCGGGTGATCATCATCAGAAAAATTCTATTTGTGTCGCAAAAATTTAAAAGGCGCATATCTAATAGAATTTATAATACTCCTTTGCTCGAAAATATTGAACGTCAAGTAGCTTAGTTACACAGTCAAAATTTCGAAGAAGTTACTATTTGCTAAATTCTCGAAGGATTATACATTGAAATGCGTATAACTCGTTCATTTTTCGCTCAAACTCTTTCAAAGTTTTTTTTTTTTTACACTTCGAGTTTCTGTTATAGACTCAGAGTATGCAATAAAAAGAGTGTGAGTGTGGATGTGGATGTGGATATACTTTCCTGACAACACTCACACCCTTATATTGATTGCAATTGATCAATTGAAATGTAGAAATAAATATTTACTCAAAAACATCTATAAATTCAGTTAAATGCATTTAAATGATATTTATAGTATTGTTTTGATTTCAATGCCATGTAATAAAGATTTGGCAATACTAATTACAATTCATCGGTACCGATGTTTTATTCTATTGTTTTGTACAGTTCATCTTTTGAACATGTAATAACATACCTCTTTTTTTACAAATCAAATCAAAATTTTGAACAACAATGAGAAATAATTTCGAATATATATTATACATAGATTGATGTATTGAACTCATCTTACAGATGAAAACTTACTGAATAGAAAATTCATATGAAGACAATTTTTTCAAGAATTTAACCAATGTCATTATCTCTTTATCTAAAATATTCTCTATTAAGAATTATTTTAAATGCAGAAACAACAATTTATTAAGACATAAATTATTATTAACAGAAAAGTGAATTATCATATTTCTTCAGATATTGAATGATTAATTACTAGGAGAGAAGGTTTCAAATACCATTCTTCGACAGGTAATGCATCCAAACGCTTTATGATACGCCAGGTCAATCCTATCCATATAAAGCCTAGTAGAATACAAGTTCCTACTTCAATTGAATATGCATATGATTTTGGCAACCAATTCGCAATATATAGTACTAATGTTGATGACAAACTATGACCTAAATTAGATATTGTTGCTAATAATGTCATGTATGTTCCAGCGATGCGTGGTTCACTGATTCGTGCATAAAATCCAATACTCGATACTATCATTAAATAGACAAGTGTTTCATTCAAACAGAGTAAGAAGATTAGAACGGGATAAAAATACGATTTGTCAAGAATGTTTGATACGAAGAAAATGTAAATGGCCAACATAGAAGAACCAATTAAACGTGGAATATATCCTCTAGCAAACCATAATAGAGGACATCGTGTTTCATTCAAACATAAGGGTAAGAGAATATGTATGATAAGTAAAGGAATATGCATAAGAGCAAGAGTATCACGTGTTATACCATGTCTATATATACAGAATATCAGAATTAAGTATATCATTTGAAAGATAGTCTCACCCTAATAACGTTAAATTGGTCATAGAATAGGTCGCTGCAAAGCCAATTTTGTAAGTGAGTAATATTAAAGTTAATTCGCGTATACATTGTTTTTTAAATAATTTCAAAATGGCTAAATACATTTCAAGCAAATATAATTTTGTTTGTCTTCTCTTTTGTATATAAACATTGTTTATCTTATTCGATTGTTTCTTATATAAGGAGATAACTACCATAATGATACTGACAATAATGAATACCATACCCCAAAATAGAATAAATTGTTGAAGTGAGAACAATCCATAAGAACGATATGGTAGAGAGAGAGGTTGTCGAATATATTTGTTGGTAAAATTCGACGATTCACATGTCATTAATATTGTCGAACCAATAAATCGTCCAATCATTACTCCAATAGTCTGACATGTTGATGAATATTGTGGATTCAATTTGGTAAACAATGAGACAGACCATCCATCAACAACGATGTCTTGGCTTGCTATGAGAAAACATATGAAGAAAAAGATGATTGTTAACATAGCAATTCGTAGATTGATCAAAAGATATTCCAAATAGAACGAGAGAGTTATTAGAATAATACCAATAATTAATTGTATAGGTATCAACCATGTTTGATAACGACCAAATCGACGACTTTGAAATGAATCGATTATCGGTGCCCAAACAACTTTAAAACTGAACGGATAGGAGACCCAACTGAAAGTACCTTGCTGTTGCCATGAGGCTTTATAGGAAGCCAAATATAATGGAATCGATGTAGTAAAACCTTGAATAAATCCTTGCAGAATATAAAGCATGAGTATTATTAAAATATACCAAAAAAGCACATTTTTTTCTAATAACATCTAAAAATGGTATCGAAATATAACAGTTTATTTAACATGAGAACAATCTATGGAATTTAATTAGAAGATAGAGTGTACCTTACAATTTCAATTGATCATAGCTTAGCTTAAATAGAAGAACTTGAAAAGATGTTCAATGTACATTAACTAATCTATATTGATAATAATATTGCGTTCTTAGAGCATATTAAGAAAATTTTTTAATTGAATGAATCACACAGTTCACACTGATTGGTACTCTATACACATATTGGTCTGTATTAGAATGAGGGCGCTGTATAGTAAATGAACAAGTACTCATAGTAATATTGTCTATACAGAGACCTACGTATTTAATAGTTTACACTTAAATAATAACTCAATATTGAAATAAATTATTCGTAGATAAATAAACGAAAGACTTTATTTAAATTTCAATTGAAAAAAAAATTTTTTTTTAATTCATCATATTCAATTATCATTGAATTATGATTTATATATAAACAATATTCGTAAAAATGAATTCCTTTTAAAGATAATCATTGTAATATAATGATGAGTTAGATCTTGTTCATTGGATCAACTACGGACAATAATCTATTGACTCTGAAAATTAGATTTTTTTAATCACAAGAGAAAAAAAAACGGAGAGTACATCTTTGTTTGTAATATCGGATAGCTCTTTTTCAGAAATGTAAAATCGAAAGTAAAAGAACACTATTCGTTCTTTTCAATATTTGACAATAAATATTTAACAAATGTTTTGTTTTCTTCTTTCTTTTATATATATATATATACAAAAAGCGTCTGAAATTTTTTACAATTCCTTTTATTTTTATTTAATGGTTGAAAGACAAATATGAAGAAACAAAAAACCCGATTAAAAATAAAAGTTTATTATATGAATAAAATATGCGAAGTTCTAGAATTCTTTTTAAAGAAATATTTTAATTATTGTATTATGAGACAATTTGTTATTCATAAAACAAAATTATTTAACAAATGATTAATTTTTTTTTCTCATCAGTTCGTCTGTCTTTATTTAGATTTTCATTGATTTTGAATATAATGGTATTATTATATTTGTTGCTGTAGTTTATGATATCTATCATAAAAAAAGAAATATTTAATAACGAAACAAAAATTTTTTTGAAAATTTTATATATAACAAATAGTATTAAAATATGTATATTTGTCGATAATATGGATTAGAAATGAATGAATGAACTTTTTATTTAGACTATTCTCAATGAAGACTTTCGTTATTAGATAGTATCCGTCTTAGAAGTTTGTTGCAAACGCTAAAGATAGTAAAAAAAGAAATTATACCAGAGGTCAAAGAATGTTTTGTACTCGATTATGAATTTGACGATTATAACGGGCTGTTAATTTCTGATGAAATAGATTAGATCAACAGATTATTGACATCATGGCAATCTGACGCAGAATTTCGATATCAAAGTATCATATAATCCTCAACAGTTTGCCTGGCAACTAGTCGAAGATCACTATCAAATATAAATTAAACCTATAGAGAAATCAATCGATTCAATACTTTTACGAAAAGCTGAACAAAAACTTTCATGATTTCAATTCAAATCATTTTAATCAAGCAACTAAATCTGTTCAAACAACTGATCGACAAAATGCATTTCCACAAGAAATTTTTCCTTCTATCATCAAACAAGATAATGCTCTAAGCAAAATTACTAATTATTTTAAAAATCAATTATCTCAAAGTCGGAACAAATCTCTATCGCACAGTCAATATGAAAAAGGATATCCTTCAATAAAAAAAAAAAGTCATTCAACTTCTTGGTTCTTTTCGAGAAGAATCTACAAAACTTTGACATGAATTATTCTGTTCTGTTACATTATTCAATGGACAATTATTTTGAAACAGGTCTAATTTTAAGAATCACACCAACAACTTTTATATTTCTACTTTAAGAAAAAAATTCATATCTTGAAAAATCTTTATCACTTATATTGACTACAGGTCAATACACATTACTTGTTAGTATTACTGTCAATTGGAAATTAGAACAACAAATGGGGAAAGAACTTTATATTTTGTCATTCATGACAAATTGAAAGATTTTAAAAAAGAAATACCACATTCAAATTGGAAACCATCTGAACATATTTCTTGGCGTATTTTTGAATTAGAAATGAATATAACTGTTCAAGAAATTCAAATAAAAATAGCACAACATATGATACAACCAAATATGAAAACAAATGATTTAACAGAACGAAATATAGTCATGCAAATGAATATATGGGTGAAGGAAAAACGTCAATTATTTTATCAATATTAGTTGTTAATTTATCTTCATCGAATTCTAGTTCAATTCGTATTATACTACTTAAATCATTATTTCCAAAAAAAAAATTATCAATCATTACGATGTAAATTAGATGGTTTACTTAATCGATGTATTTTTCCATTTGCATGTTGTCGTGATATGAATTTCAATACTGTACAAATAAATCAAATTTTTAAACGTATCCAACAAAGATTATTGAATTATGATATTATATTGACTTCACCAGAAGATATTCTTTCATTTGATTTACTCACTATTGATAAATGTCGAAGAAATGAATTTGATGTTGGTCGTTCTATGTTGTAACAATTCAACAATGATTTAAAAAATATGTTCGCGACGTATTAGATCAATCACATGAAATTTTATATATTAAATATCAATTGATTTATACTGTTGATGGTCAATGACAAATTGATGGAGGTGCAGAACGTTGGAAAACTATTCAAACAATTTTTGAATTAGTTAAAAAACATGCTGCTGATATTTCAAAATGTTTGTTATAAACCATCTTCGGACGAAAAAGTGCATTTCCACAATTTCATTTACAATCACATGAACCATTTCCATTACTTTGTAAAAAAAATTTGCAAATGATTAAATCGATAGTATAAATTATCGTTATGCAGATAAACTAATATTCATTTCAAAAAGGAAAAAGTATGAGTATTTTTGGAATAAATTTTGATAAAAACTAGATAGAGAGCTGCGATTTTCATTATTCGAAAGAGACTGTGTCACTGCATGATTCTATGTAATGTTCAACAATATTGGTTCATAAGTCAATGTTCAGTTAATGATCTTCGGGAATAATACGGAAAGTTATTTTCGGTGATTCTCAATCGAATCGGACTATTGGTTTGGTAATGTGATTTGTTTTGTCAAGTAAATCTACTAAACATAGACTTTATTGCGACTGGAATACTGTAATATGACACCATGATGACATTTTTGGATTGAAATATGTTGGATATCATCGTTGAATGTTAATGGAAATAATCTCATGTGTTGCTCAACTTTGATGTCGCATGACTTTTCGCTTCTATATTTCAGAAATAAGAAGCGTGTGGTGTCTACAGCGATAGCATTCGACGTAGAGCAACAGAATAGAACTTGGTTATTCAACGACTCAGCCCGTTTTCTTCATCGCTGAGATATACATTCCGATTGATATTCTGTTATAATATTACACTGCAGTGGTGTCGTGCAGGTGCACTCTTTCTTTCGTTCTTCTGCACTCTCTGATTTTGTTTTCTGTTCTTTCATTGTGCATAAATAACACGCCCGCTTTTTTCTTCTATCCATTATGTTCAGGTACTTTTCATCTCTCTCTCTCTCTCTGTTAATATTACTAATTTACATGTTCTATCATGACCATTCTAACATGGGTGCTCAAAACTTAGATGTAAGAGCCAAAAATGTGATCATGGTGTCGTATTATAGTATTCTAGTCGTAATAAAATCTATGTTTAGTAGATTTACTTGACAATGACAAATCACATTCCCAAACCAATAGTTCGATCCAATTGAGAATCACCGCAAATACGATTAGCGATTGGATCATAGACTTTTTAAAAGATGAAAGCGTACTCAAAATGGCTGATATGAAGGTGTCATCGTTATCATTAGGATACATATAAAGTTTGAAGAAAACAAGATAAAGATATTAGATTTGCATAGATTTGTAGACTATGAGCTGGCGGATCTATTGCACTCCTTAGAGTTAAAACTCCATGTAATCACTATAACACTTTCAGTATTTTCCCGAAGATCATTGACTGAACATTGACTTATGAACCAATATTGTTGAACATTACATAGAATCATGCAGTGACACAGTCTCTTTCGAACGATGAATACCACAGCTCTCTATCTAGTTTCTATCAAAATTTATTCCAAAAATACGCATACTTTTTCGTTTTTTAAATGGTTATTAGTTATGATCCAAAAATTAGCACTTGATGATGTAAAATGCCTGAAAACGAGCGAAAACAAAATGAAATTTTTGAGTTTTTGATCTGAACTGCCTCAGGGAACTCTACCATTGATTGTCGGTAAGTTTTGCAATACTTTTGGACGACCTTTGACAATGCAAAATCATACAAAACAATAATCGTACATTATTTTTCGCTTTCGAGTGAGTAAAAGGACAGACAAAAAGTGAATTCTCCCATCTATATTTTTTGCATCGAACAACTGAAGCAAAGGTAACCTAATAGCTTTTTATAACTTTTTAATAATTCTTCAAAAAGCATTCTTTTATCTTAACAAAATCTCTCCTTGAAATATGAGGTTCAATAGAAACTTCTTTCGTAGTGACCTGTCACGATTTTCATTGAATCTAGGGTATACATGATTTACACAGTAATTTGAAAAGTTTATTTCGTGAAATTCTGCAGTGACTAATATTCAGTCAGACGTGTAACGAAGATGATGATGTTTTTATGCCTAAAAAATGCACATTTTGACGTATTAAACTTAGGCATGCAACGATGATTCGCCGTCACTGAAGAAAGTCTATTGATTATAGGCGATAAAATATGTTATCACTTCTAATCTATTTTTTGCTGAATGAAAATAGGCGCATTGGATTATTTATTTTGCAACTCCTATAGGATATTGCATGATAAACCGTTACAAAAGATATTGGCTAGATACTTTGAAATGTACTCTTTACAAATCTATACACTTTGACAGTACAAAAATAGCCACAATCTTCAACAATGGGTCTTTGTTCTAGGTGTGGGTGTAAGTATGGTTGTAGTTGTCGGTATGTAATTCTGCCTTTCCATATCGCTGTGTGAGATTCATCTGAGCACTCAGACCAACAACTCCAGTTGACAGCATAGCAGCATTTTGACTAACATGGTCTACAGAAAAAGAAAGCTGGATTATATTGGTTATACTCTACTAATATTCTGTTATCATACTATGGTCTCTATTCATTAATTGTGAACCAAGTTAACAACTCTTACTATTATGATGAACAGCTACAGAAAAATGTTTGCTCCGCGTCTTGTATTATTGATGCAGTCGAACAAAAGAATTCATTTTCAAGGTTGAACAAACAAGTCATCTATACTTGAAGAAATTTATTTTGCAAATACAAAATTACTTCAGGAATAGAGCAAAAAATATGTACGATGAAAAAAAGACGCCTTCTCATGACTTAACCACAAAAAAATCTCATCATCTGAAGTTAGTTAGCAGTATGACAATTGATTTAAGTTTTCATCCGAACAATAATCAAATAAGAGAAAGTCATACAAGTGTTGAGCAGCTACTCCCCTTGAAAAAAATTTCATTTATTGTTTATATGAAACAACCTTGTCCCCACAATGCGAGTTGTAGTATAATCACAAAATCTGATTGGTGATTCTGTGAAGAAACATTAACAAGATTCTGAAATTCAATATTGATGGGCACAATGGTGATCAAGAAACAGTGAGAAGAAAAAAAAAGATTGCTGTTATGTACAAGCAAACATAAAATCACTTTTGGTTTTTCATCTAACGACGACATTGTTCTTTGTGTAAATCGAGCAAATAAAGGTATGTATAGAAACGTGAAACGATGTAGGAGTTTTCATTGTCTTGATCATTTACTGACTTCCTCAATATCTTTTATCAGTTTTTCGAGATTTATTTCTTGTGTAGAAGTAGGTCAATCCTTGATAAAACCTTCTGGATCGAAGCACATGAACGTTGCCATAGTGTTTAACAACAACTAATCTGAAATTACGACATGTACGGGAATAAGAACTTCTTGGTTCTCTAAGCAATGTATTCTGCCCATAACATGGATTTTTTTGAGATGTTGTATGAGTATTATGCTGATGAAGGCTCTAGCCATACAGGCTCATTTTTGAAATGGCCGGTTTTTGAAGCAGCGTGCTATTTTATTGACATAGTTTTCCAAGGGTTTTCTTTACACGCGCTAAAACCTAAAATAATATTCAAATGAGTCGTGACTTGAAATCGTTGAAGTATGCGCATTCGAATCAATTAGTTTCTGCACTGTCATATTTTGATAAAGATAAACATGTATTGTCGAAATTTCATCATTAAGAGTCATGTCTTGCAAGCACGATTAATTCATAAATTTACAACTTAATCTGATCTATCAGCAATAATCGAAAGTTGTGTTTTGACTGGACTTAGTGTGTGGGTGGGTGTGAGTATTGATGAAGTGATAACACATACCACACACCCACACCAACACCCCACACTCACACCCATCCACCCTTCAGAAAGTGTCGTCGAAGTTTTCGGGAGAGTCTTTGAAAATTGCTCATAAAAAATGGTGATGGAAATAAATTGCAAAGAATTCGTAGGGACATGATGCAGCCCAATGATTCTATGCAGGCAAGAATAAACTGAGAATATGCACTCTCCTACTGCCAGATTTCCAGAGAATAAGTTCTAGAATTTGACTTTTCCTTTTTGATACTCTTGCGAGTGAAAAAAATTTCGCGTTCCACGAGCTAGGTCTCATTGTTTTAGTTTTCCAATTCTTAAGCTCAGAACTTGAGTATCTTCAATGGTGAAAAGAATAATTGCTTTCCATTCTCTATTTCTATGAAGTGACAACCCATGCCTATGGATGAAATGCTCGATTCTTCAGTTTTGTAACATTTATCTAAATGACAAAAAAAGAAATGAAGCGAGAAACAATAAATGTGTTCTATTAATGTTCCCCCTCATTCTTTGAAATTCTAAAAAATGAGTGAATTTATACAACTTCATGTTGAGAGTAAACAAGCGAAGCGGAACAAGGACAAAGCATGAAGTATCTAAGTCGTTGAATAAGATAACATAGTTGGAAGCGATGATGATTTAGTTAGACCTAGCATTGCCCATAGCTGCCCAGTCTTCAAACAAATCTGCATACACCCAGTGGTCACATATGGATTAAAAGCGTGATTTATATAATTCACAATAACTCACTGGAAGAAGGGCATGCCAGAGAATTTTTTTGCGTTCATTGATACCTGATAACTTTCTCTTTTCACCTCATGTAGGTTTTCATTAAAGTGAACAGAAACCATACATTGGCAGTGACAGTGAAGAAGAACAACTATACGTTTGCACTGTCCTCTTTCTTTCGACAATATACCCCTACAACAACATGTTGACAATAAAGACAAGTGGCGATAAGGTCACTTTTTTGACAAAAATATTTTCAAGAAATATATATAGGAGGATCACCAGTTTGACATGGGCTACAAGATTCAAAATGACAATTGGGTTTTTGATCCCGGCACTCTTGTCCAAACAGGATTACGAAAAAATTTTATTTTTTCAAAATTTATTTTTTACAAGTAACTAAAGCTATCAAATTGGCTATGCTGATCACGAATATCATTATTTCAAAATTCAAAAATACGGCTCTGAGGAGTACCTCGATTCTCACTTATATCCTGATTTAATAGCCTAAACTGAGTTTTTGACCATACTGTTGGAGATAGTAACCTATAAAATGTACAAAAAGTTGTTTTCTGATGGAAATTCAATGGCTCTATTTAAATCAAAATGAATAAAATTCATTGGAAATGCACAATTATTTATAACAGCGAAATACAACCAGGATGATGATAAATTGAACATAGACATCTCTTTTCATTTCTTAAATTCAATTTCAAATTTTGATAGAGTATAAAAAACTGCATCGAACTGATATAGTCTCACTTATGTTCAAAACTATTCAGGACACTAGAATTGACGGTAAAAAGGAATGTATCTATTGTTAAGTTTATCATCATCCTGATCGTATTTCGCTGTTATAAACAATCATACATTTCTAATAAACTCTATTCGTTCTGATTTAAATAGAGCCATTGAATTTTCATCAAAAAACACTTTTCTGTACATCTTATAGGTTAGTATCTCCAAGAGAAGGGTCAAAAACTCAATTTAGGCTATAAAATCAGGGTATAAGTAAGAATCGAGTTACTCCTCCGAGCTATATTTTTGAATTTTGAAATAGTGATATTCGTGATCAGCATAGTCGATTTGATAACTCTAGTTACTTGTAAAAAAAAATAAATTTTGAAAAAAAAAACATTTTTTCTAACCCTATGGGGACGAATGCAGGAGTTAAAAACCCGAATGTTATTTCGAACGAAATGACTATACCACATTTGTAGTTCATGTCAAACTGGTTGTCCTCCTATATATATTTCTTGAAAATATTTTGGTCAGAAAAGTGACCTTACCGCCACTCGTCCTTTCATTTTAACGTTCTTTCTGGTTTTTTTTAGCATTGCGCTAGCCATTATTCTTAGAGGTCGAAGAGAACATGACACGTGATGTGTATACATATATATAGTAGAGAAAGACATCAAATTACAGAAATGTAGTGTTTCGATTTTTCTGTTACTGTCCGGCTCCTATTCTGATGAAGAATCCTTGATATTTTTTTAATATTTTCTCTTTCCCAAAAGATTTTTTTATTATAGAAATGGCTTCAGATTCTCCCGTCATTAGTGATGAGAATAACATGACACATTCTAAATCAATTATTACAGGCAGTTCTCTTGAAGAGCACTCTAATTATGGTTTTCATGAAATTTCGTCAACGACCGTCAAAATCCAACAATTGAAAACTGATTTGAATGCAGAGAATCAATATGAAAGACATGCACTAACTGAATTGAACGAAGAATTGCGTTTGATCGTTGATCGTGCTCATCAATTAGAATTACAAAATTCACAATATATGACAAAACTGTTCAATTTACGACAACAAGTGTTCATTAATAGAATTACTGGTATACAAACTGATGAACATAATCATGTACAGACTAATATTATAAAATTTAACTACGATAAAGTTAGTTACGAATCAGAAATCGAACTCTTTCAATTGCAAAGTAAAATATACGAGGAAATGCTTCAGTTTGAAACACAATCAATCGATGAACAACGATTAAAATTAGAACAAGAATTGAAACAATCTTCATCTGCTCTTATCGATCTACGTAAATCATATACAGAATTAGAACAGAGAGTTGGAAGTTTTCGTGTAGAATGTAAAGATACATTCCAAAAGTATTTGAAAGTGACCAGTGATTGGTCTCTTTTGAAGAAACAAACAAAGGAATTAAAAATCAGTATGCAAATGGTAAAAACTCAAATTGAATTTTCAAAAAAATTATATACGTATGTACCACAATAAGTATACATTGTTTATTTTCTTCTTTTCATTGAGAAATTTTTTCTTTTACTTCTAGAAAATTCACTTATTTTTCAGTGGATATGACTGATTTTGCTGAATTCTGGAAGCTTGAATGGGTAGAGATTATTAAGAAAATACGTCATGATTTCGAATTATTATATAGAACAATTCATCAAGAAACAATCTTGTTTTATGAAAAGAAAAGCAAGGAAATACAAATCGAATCAGAAAAAATAACAGAGTATCAACAAGCTGAGCATGTAGAACATGTAAAGATTCTAGAAAAAGTTCAGAGTGAATATGAAGAAGTACAGAAGAAACATTCCTATGAAAAAGAAATTCTAATGAAATCAGAAGCAACATACTGTGAGTAAAATATGATATCCTCTCTTCTCTTAATTCTTTCTTAAGAAAACGTTTTTTTTTGTTTTTGTTTCTTAAAGCTGAATTAGAATCCAATTTGAAAACGATTCAAATTCAACATAATGAAAAATTTGAAGCACAAACGACTGAATTACAATATTTATATGAAAGTATCATGGCAATGGTTAGTAGTGTCGAAGAAATCCAACGAAGGTTAGAAAATTTGATGCTGATTGAAACCAAGTATTCAATTTTCTTTGTATATAATATTTCTAGAAAGAATTTCTTAGAAAGTGAAATTATTATTTATCGTCATATATTGGGTAAATGTCAACTAAAGAATGTCGTCGAAACTACAATTATAACAAAAAGAACATACGTTGTAGAAATTCAATGTCATGGAACGATTAACATTGGTAAGCGTCAAGTTGAAGAAGAGAGAGAGCGAGGGTGAAAAAAATCTGATTGATACTTTTTTTTTTCTTTTGGTAAAAGAATGTCCTTTCGATAGTACACACATTTGTTTGACGAATCAGTCGACGAATACAACTATCGATATTTCGAGATGGCAGCTGGTACGACGTGTTGATTCAAAGGTGGTACTTCAGTATATACTACCTGATGGACTTCAACTTAAGCCAGGAAGTGAATTAAGAATCTATTCGAAATTAGGTGCTGAAGTTGCTGAAAAATCGTCGAATGAAAATATTTTTTCATCATCTCTATATCAGAAAATTGTCCTTAACGATGTATATTCAATGGGTATATGATTGTATTAAGCTATTCTATTTATTATTCTTTTCTACTGCTCCCTAGGTATTGGTGACAAGATTGAAACATTGCTACTTGATAAAAATGGCGAAGAGAAAGCAGCATGCATACAGACAGCAGCTGATTGAACAGAATATGTTTGACCGCAGTAAATTCAACTTATTTTGGTCGAGAACTAGACTTGTAGTTTGTATCGAATTAAACCTCTAACCTCCTAGAAGTTTTTTAATAGAAGTTTTTTGATTTTTAATTGACAATGAATTAATAATAAATATATATGTCATAGAATTTTTCAATACGCTTCTTTAATCGTTCAATAGATTCATCAGAAATTACAGTTGTTTTTTATTAACGAGTCAATCGATGAATGTCTCAAGAGTTCTTGTATTATACTAGTTAAAGTTATGCTTCCGCATAGGAAAGAATTTGTGCATTCATATACGCCATTTATCGAACCGACTTTCAAGATCCTATGTTCTAATGGTGTTGCAGGTTTATTCTGTTCTCAGTATGAGGTTATCGTCATTGAACTGAATTCGGTGAGATTTATCTTTAAGGTCACATGGACTTAGCTTCGAAGAATACTATGAATTTTATATCAATCCACACGTTCTTTTTTGCCAACAAATAAAAAATCGAATCCTAGGTCTTTGTCATCATTCCGATATAGTTTTGAAGTGCTATGTTGAGGAGATCTTCACAGACAAGTTTGAATTTATGTAATCAACTGGTTCTAGTGGCACGCAGTTGATTAAACCGAATTTAAAAATGTTACTGGTTACAATTCTACTGCCTGAATTTTCGTTGCATTAAAATTCAATTGAATGTAGATGTGGCTGAGTATACGTCTGCGTGTGATTAATATTTATATCCATATACACACACTCACACTCTTCGAAATAAAGTCGAAAGAACAACATTACACAGAGATGCGGATGTAGGTACAGATATTAATTTCATGCAGACCCGCACCGATTTCCATTCGATATTGACAAGAAGATCGATGGATCAGATGACATTAATATTATACAATGTCACCAAATTATTAGGATCATCATGTTTAACTCATACTTGAATTATTATTACAAAAACTGTATCGAATCAAACAGAATGCGATCCCACAGGAATTCGATCTAATTTATCCAATGCAATAAAGCAATATGTTGCCATGGTGGAATACTACATTAAAGTTCAAGATCAATTATTGTTTTATTATAGGATCGCTTGTCAATGTATAAAATTTCTTTGATTTGAAGCTACTTTTATAAATTCTGTTCAACAATAATTATAGATTGTTGTTGTTCGACTACTTACAACAACTCATATATCACAATCTTAACTCTGTAATGGTTTTATTTTCAAATATGAAACGATCAATAATAGTCGATTTTCATAATAAATTTTTCTAATTTTGAACAATAAAAAATAAAAGTCAATGATGAATTATCATTGCATAATTTCAACATCTTCAATTTGAGACTTGGTCACACCCATACAGTCTGATGGTAGGTATTAGAGAATAAATTCCTTTGGGACCTTTTTTGCTTTTATTTCAATATGAAGACGTACGCACACACCACTAGACCTATATTAGACTGGAGAAAAATGCGCATATATATATATATCATCACACATGTCCAGGATTAACAAGATAGAAAACGAACATAACAAAGAGATGACGATATGATCGAAAAGTATCACATTGAAGAAAGATGGCCTCGTAAGAAGAAATGAATGATATCATATTGAGGAAAAAGAATAAAAAGAATAATGATCTATATGAAATTTAGGATAAAATAGTAAACAGATGCAATAGAGGAAGGAGAAAACAGAAAATACAGTGTGAGCGCGAAGCCCGTGACAGTAGAACAAGAGACTTTTCATTAGGAAGCTGCAGAACCATCTCTTTTATATCCAGATTAAAATTTTTTCTAGTCTCGGTGCCACTCAAAACTGTTTATTGATACTAGTCGCAGCTCTAGTATAAATTTCCCATTGCTTTCACTATAAAGTTTTTTCTACAGCTTGAATAGTTATAGGTCCCACTTCCGGTCCTGGTGGAAGTCAAACTTTTCATCTCGATCTCGCAGGACTGAGATCACTTTCCAGTTTCCTACTTTCCATCTTCCTCTCTGGATTATCAACCGTTTTGGGTGTGGATGTGAGTGTTTACCAAAAAGACCAACACTTACATCCACACCCACACCCTTGTATCAGAGTATTCTATAAAGACATAGTGAGAAACAAAAGAATGAAATGAAAAAACATTCATAAAAACAACAATATGTCTATGAATGCCTGACTTTTTTGTCAATATTAGAATGAATTCAAAACTTCGGACTTGATGCATGCCTAATTAAGTCTATTTGAGATCGCGAAATATTATTAGGAATTTCAACTCATTAATTCGAAAGTTTTAGCTCAAACAAAGACGTTTTTGTTTTTGTCAAATTATGAAATACTCAAAATGTTCTGAACAACGCATTATATCGTATGTATACTCTTTAAATTTCAATCTTCTTTACAACAAAATATTTTTTATTTTCTAAAATATAGATGAGAGAATAATATTAATGTAAGTGTACCAAATCTTTCTACAACAGATTCAAGTAATATGACTTTATCGAATCTATTAACCACAGCATAAAGTTCTCCAAATTTAACAACAATAAATGTTGTTAATGTCGCCATAATTGATGATGAATTAATGTTAATCGAAGAATCATGAAGTATACCTAAAATTCCATTATCTGATCAACAATAAAAACAAAACAATGAAACAAATGATGATCATGAGTGTTGTCAATTAAAACGTATCAAATTCAATAATCTACAAATTCAACTAGCAACGAACCAAACTCGTATACAAATATTCTCAACACAATTCCATATTTTTTCTTTTTGTCTTGTTTAGAAGAACATAAAAAGAAGTACCGGAATGAGATAAAGTAGTTATTCACCTTTCCGATGAATTCAATTCAATTTTAAAATAAAACACATTTTTATAGAATTGCGATCTGTTTTATGAACAGATAACTAATCTAGTTGAGTGTACTTCTTAGACTTATGACAAAATATTTTTGATTGCATGGATAATTTTTTTGTTTATTTTGAATTTTTATTTAATAGGAAGAGGAAGAGTGTAGGTATAGGTCAAGGATGTGGCTATCCATGTCTTTTTTCTATTCATCAACACTGACATCTATTTACATTCCATATCCATGGCCGAATTTCGACAAATTAGAACCAAACTCGTTCTTACTTACTATTCACAATTGTTGTTAAAGGTAGATGACTATAGAGAAGAAATGATAACGATGTGAGTTGGAAATTTCCAAGTAATACCGTACTCAAGCAAATATTTTTTTTTCTTCTCCTGTAGCTATTCAACGCTTGAGAAATGATTATTTTTTCTCCGTTCTGACATATTTTGCACGCCCAATAATACGGTACAAAGTATGCATTAATGTGAGGTTGCTTCACAAAAGAACTACCAGTGCGCACATCAATCTATTTAAAGTAAGAGTAGAATTCATAAATGGCTCTGGGCTCAGCATATACAATCGTCTGGTTAGATGCTCACATTGGCTCACCCGATTATTGCCGCAATATGAAAAATGAGTTCCAAATGGGACTGATGGAAGCATCAGCCGTCCCACATGATCCCATAGACGATCTCATTTGTAATATTCGTGAATATGGAGCTCCGATCTCATTTGCAACCAACATAGAAGATGCATTACAATTAATTGAGATCAATCTTCCTTTCAAAAAAGTAATATATATTTCATCTGCAACATTCGGCAAAGAGATTATTCCAATAATAATTCAAAGAAGTTTACAACTTGAATGTTATTATATATTTTGTGGTGACATTGCAAAAAACTGCGAATGGGCTCAAGAATGTCTCGATAATGGTTTGGAATTATTAATGTTTGACTTTGAGACTGATTTATTGATCAGACTCGGTCGAGATATGAGTAAGAAATTGATCGAAGAAGGAAGAAACTTGTTAACTGACAATCCTGCATCTGCTTTGAAATACTTTGAATATGCTTATAACCTTGCAGAGAAGGCTGTCCAACATGACAAACCACTAGATGCATCACATCAACATCATCCAAGCACTGAGCATCGAAAACTATTGGATAATCTCATTGCTGAAGCTAAACGAATCCTACAACAGACTTCGGATCAAAGGTGATCAATTTATATTTAAAAAAATTTATTAAATCCAAACATAAACCATAAAAAATTAAAATTAAATTAGAAGTTTTTCATTCTGTCACCACAAATATAAGTAATATTTTATATCAATATTGAAATATTAAAACGTCATACAAATTACAGTAATCATAGTGCAATTTTATCACATATCGAATGATTTTGGACTGTTTGAAGCGAGATATTTAGTGAAGAATAGCAAAAAATTTTTTTAATATTTGTTTGAGATGAAGTATATTACTAAACAGAGATGAATAGTTTTGCACGAGTTTTACAATAACTCGAGTGGATACAACAGATAATGTAAATCATGATCTTCCAAGTAAGTTTATTGAAAATCCGATATTTACCATCTGATAGAGAAAAAATGTCAAATTCATTTTTTTCCAATACCGAATTCTAGATGAATCTTTGAAAGAAATCGATATCCATCATGGCACATGATTGTACTGAAAATTTGTTTAATATCTTATCTGATGTTTTTTGTCGATGTTAAAAAAAAGAAATATGATTGTGCTACAATTCAAGGTCATAATCTGGTATTTAGTCATCTATGAGCTTAGCTATATTCAGTCACTTTTGCATTAGAAATCAGATCAAAAATAGCCCGATTACAACGTTTTACTGTCAAGAGAATATGATCAAGATGTACCAAAGAAGTTTCTGTGATAATTCTATCGAATCTCTCATGAAATTGATAGTTCATATGGAAATCCTAGATACTTCAAAAGAATATTTCAGATTGTACTTTAATGCTGAATTTAATCATTTTATT